GTACTGCCGTTCCTTTGTCAGCAGATTGAATAGTTTCATTAGGGCTAGGTAGGGGCGATTCTTCTTCTTCTTCTTCTTCTTCTTTTTCTTCTTCTTCTCCTTCTTTTTCTTCTTTGTCTTTTTCATTCTTTCTTCTTCTCCTTGTGTATAATATGTTTCTATCATAATTATCTCTTTTTCTTTTAATTCCCGCACGAAGTATCTGATATCGATATGGGTCCTTCTACAGCAAATCGGGGCTTAGAGATAATCTAACTGAAATTGAGATTTTTATTAGAAAGTATTCACAAGTACACGAATTATTCATAGATAGTAAAAATCTCAGTGTATAATTTGGTAAGCTCTGTACGCAGTAATTTTACATATGCTGATTCTCTGTTCTAATTTTAGACTACTGTTAACATTAGAAATCGTTGATATTTACAAATCAAAAAATCGTTTCTAAGCCCCGATTTGATGTGTAAGGACCCATATTTCATTACCTTTAAGGCCTTTTACTAGTTTAACGTAAATTCTAATGTTGCTTCCTTACTATGGATTTTTTTTAATTGATTTGAAAGTTACATAATACAGTAATAGGGTGGATTATTTGTGCGAGTTATACAAATCCAGAAAGAAAATTAGCCAATCGGGGAACGTAAAATGTGATGATCCCAAAAAACCCCGAAAAATAACGAGAATAAAATTTTACATATAAAAAATGCAAATCATCACTACCTAATGCTAAACTCTAAACTTTCTTAGTTTATTTACAAATGCTATTTCTTTTTTGGGTTTGTATCACTCGCAAAAATAAGTATTTCAATGCAATTTTAATTAGCAGCTTTGTTGTCAATTACCAGCGATACCGATTGACAACAAAGCTGCTAATTAAAATTGATTAAAATCGCTTTGATTGAAATTGATCAATTGGACAATAAAGAATATATTGGACAAAAAACCAGTTTGTCAAAAACCACCTTTTGTATAAAATGAAAATTTATTTAATTTAAGTGTTTGTGTTTGATCAGATCATCAGAAAAATGATTAAAAAATAATAACAGAAATTAAGAAAAAAAATATCAGATGTAATTAAATTTGACACGGGACTACTAATAGTTAAATAGATACAGTATATTCTATTGAGAAAATTACTAACAGAAGTGAAATGGAACCCAATAGAGTGAATGGGACCAATAGCGAAGCCAAAACAGGTGTTAAAAATTTGGCACAAATATAGGGATAACAAAATCTCAGATCTAAATATATACACAATCGCAAATTATTCAAATAATTGTTTCAAATATATAGAGAAAAGAAAGAAATTTATTCTAAAAATTAATGAAGACATACAGGGGGGTGATAAAAATATTTCTACACCTAAGGACTTGGCTTATAACTCAAAAACTTACTAATTAATTTTAGCTTTTATTTATTTATCTAAATCTATAACTCTCTGTGATTATGTGATGTTATTTTTAAATTATATACTTGAATAATTAACAAATTATTTAATTTTTTTTTTGGAGTTTTGAAAATTTTGATAAGTGTTTGTGTTTTTTTTTAAATATTTTAATATCTATTAATTCAAATTTCATCAGATTTGAATCAATAGATATTAAAATATTAAAAAAAATCACAGCTTACTAAAATTTTCAAAACTCTAAAAATAAAATTAAATAATTTGTTAATTATACAAGTATATAATTCAAAAATAACATCACATAATCACAGAGAGTTATAGATTTAGATAAATAAATAAAAGCTAAAATTAATTAGTAAGTTTTTAAGTTATAAGCCAAGTCCTGTGTAGAAATATTTTTGCCACCCCTGTAAATTTATTTTTAAAATAAAATTTATAAAAGTTTTGTATCTAATCAATGAAAACTTGTTCTATTTTTTTTTTTTTCTCTTCTTTAACTAAATCCAACAGGTCCTGAGGAGGCTTATAGATAACAAAGATTGCAAAACTTATTTCCATCATAAAAATAAAACAAATTAAGATTCTAATTGAACTGAAAAGAGTTTGCCTTGGATAATTATGCATATAAGTTTGAATTAGAACTAAAACTAATAGTGAGTGAGTAGGATATAATTCTGAAAATATAAATTATCTCAGCGATAGATGTAGACATCTTTAAATTAATGTTTGTTTACTTAAAGTAGTTTATAGTAAATGCGGTTAATAAAAGTTTGAGGTTAATCATCTTTATATCTTGATATTGGCTAAATTACGTACGTAGGTCAAATTATATAATTATCTCTTATCTCATTGTTTTCATCATAATCTTCACACATCATTTTGATTACAATTATAATACTAACTATCACAAAAGCTAAATATATCCAATTAAAAATAAAATTTAACATGAAGTATTCAATTTTTTAATGCAGTTTGAAAATTGAAATTTTATTTATTCAATTTTCAAAGTTAAAAGTTAAAACATTTAAAAAATTGACTACCTAGCTCATATAAGTTTTTAATACCAATGTAATTATAAATAAAGTTCTAGATAAATTCAAAATAACATAAATTATGGACGCCTAATTGCTTTCATTGAAAGTAGATATAAGATATTAACATTATTCTCAAAATTCGAATACCGTAAAATAATTACAAGAATTTACCGTTACTAGCTTGTTGTCCAAGTAAAGTGCTATATAGCTAAAACATTAATACCCATCGTAAAAAAATAAAAGCAGAAAAATATAATATTATTTATTTAAAAGAAATTTATAATTGTTAAATATTAGTTAGTTTATTCTTATATTTAAGTTTTCCACTTGTTTGATCAAACATGAGGACTTTTGCTAGTTAGGTTATAATTAGAGTTAAAGTTAAACTTGTTGGTGAAATAAAATAGACTAGTAAATGTGTCGATAAATAATTGTTGGTGAAATGTGGTGTCTATATAATATGGACCATTTTTTTAAGTAGCGATCTATGGTTGAAAAAATTATTTAAAAAATTATTTATATATACTTTACAGAAAAAAAAATCAATGACTGAAAAAATGCCAAATTCTGAAGATAAAATATTAAATAATTTATATAAGAACATTAGCCAAATTAAAACCTTAACAGAAGATACAATGAGTCGAGCCTTAAGTCTTTTAATTACAAAATAAAAACAATTAAAAATAACAACTGAAATCAAAGACGAGATACAAAAACTGTTTTGCATATTTAATAAATTCCTGAAGAAAAAGAACCCAATTTATATGTACTTGGAAATATTGAAAAGCTATCCTCCTTTTAGATCTTCATAAGACAGAAATAACAATCAACACTTTCACTAATATTTTTGTGTCAATGTTTATTATCTGATGCAAATATTATGAAATATATGTATCAAGAAAGGCAATTGGAAAGTAATGAAGCTGAAATTAGAATAAATGACGAATATCTAATTGGACAGCCTAAAGGTGCACTAACTATTCTTGATAAATATAGTAAATTTATAGGATTTATAATTTCTAAACCTGAAAAAAAAGATAGATCGGAAATAGCTTATGCATTGTATTGTGAATACTGGAATAGAGGAATAGGGCAATCAGTTTTAAGTAAGATGGTTGATGAGTGGGGTCCTGAAGTATGCAGAATTGGTTTAGGAGAAAATCTTTACATACAGAATAAACAAGAAATTTTTCAATTTAATGGTAAAGAATTAGAACAATTCAGGGCTACAGTTAGACCTATAAATGTCAGTTCTTGGTCTATCCTTAAGAAAGTAGGTTTTGAACCAGTACTAGCAGACAAATTAATTGATTTTGAAAATAAAAGGTTGTGATTTGCCACCATTAGATAATTTACTAAATTATTGTAAAAAACTTGAAGATTTTATTAATTACCTTAATTACACTGGGAACATAGAAGCTGATAAGCTTTATACTTAAGAGAATGACAAAAATTTCACATTTTGTATAAATGTGGATAGCAGAATTAGATTTAATTATAAAAAAAATATAAAATAGTAATTGTTCCTTGAAAACAAGATAATAATTAATACACTTTCAATTAGTTCTAATCTCATTTTAACAATAAAAATCACATTTCATTTCATAAAATTTTTGTTAAACCTTTTCAAAATATTAAAAGGTAAAGAGATGTTTTACTTAACTACAAAATTTTGAATTGCATTTTATTGGTGGAAGCTGAGGGAAGCAAAGTGAAAGCCTTTCGACTTTGCTTCAATTGATCCAAATTTTAGGTTTAATAATCAGGAATGTTTGGATACCGAAATCGGTTTAAAATATTGTAGCAGACTTTTAATAGAGTTTATTTAAGATTCCTTATTTACTATTAATTCTCGTTATCTGTGTTCTTTCTTTGAGTCATATAAATACCATTTAAAACTTAAGTAGCTACTAGGGTTAATGGAGTGGCAAGCTCCGGAAACCCAACCCAAGTTCGAGCAACTCTAAGAAAATCTGGATGGGTTTAGGAGTAGCTCAACCCAATCCAATCCAACCCTTGTAGCTGAATATTTGTAAGAACAAACTAATTTTTTAGCAATTGTTATAAATTTATTTTCATTGGCTTCAGTCTTCTATTAAGACATGAAATATCAAACTTTATTTGAATACTTGACAATTGTGGATATCATTATAGATATTGAAAATTTAAATATCATGAAAAACAAATAATACTCGAAGTACTCAAATTCTAACAGAAAAAATTAAACTTGACAATAAATTAGATCCTTATATTTCGATTAAGGATCAAATTGCTCATCGTTTTAAAAATATTAAAGTATATGCTGTATCCGCAAAATACGATGACTCTAAAAAAATCGTCATTAAAAGACCTTATTGCCCAAATGGATTTGTTGCTACTATTCTTCATGCTTATAACTATCATAAACATTTACGTCTAAGTTCTGATAATGTTTGGCTTACAATTTCTCAAGGTGTTAGTCATCATATTAATTATAATTAATTTCTAAAAATATATTCAAATGTTGTAAATACTGTATTAATTTTAAATTTTTAAATATCATCGTCTTTATTATACAAAAAATTTCACTAGTTCTTTTTACTATACTATACATAAATTTGATTAGATAGTGTAATTTCTCAAAAAAAAAAAAAAAAGTGTATAAATAAGTTACCTGTAGTTAGTTAAGTTATCCAAAAACTAATAGTTAATATAAATTGTACTCTAAAACTATAGTTTTAGATTACAATTTATATTGACTATTAGTTTTTGGATAACTTAACTAGTTACCCAGGCAATTGATTTACATTAGCCAATGAAGCGAATGTCTAACCATGAGCCTTAAATTGTAATCAATTGATCAAAATAGAAAGATCTGTTTCGTCAAATATTATTTAAACAACTTCTTCCACACCTTTTATGCTATATATAACAATAGCTAAAAATTTTACACTATTAAAAAAATGCCATGTACTCGTTCTTCTTATAATATACAACTTAAAAAGAATAGAGTTAATATTATTAACTACAAGTTGAGCGACAAAAAATATGAGATATCTTTTACAGATAAAAAAGGAAAAAAAGTATAAACGTTTATATTGATCTGTACAAAGAACATAAAAATAGAAAGCAAGCTACAATAATGAATATAATTACACATTAAAAGATTTGAAACTTTAAATAATTGTTAAAATCAATAGAATACCAGCATTGTTTAATTTACGAATTCATGCCCAATGTTTTATTGTCATTACTAACAGACAAGCTCTTGGATCTAAATTTACATACAACTTTACTACCTTGTATTAAGTAAGGCCTGAGTATTATTAACATTGATGTTACATGCTAAATTACTGTAAATATTTTGTAGGTCACTTTAAATTACAATCAATTGAGTTTACTCATTAGAGTGTTAAGTCAATTTAAATTACAATCAATAAGTTTACTCATTAGAGTGATTCATAATTTAATGTTTAGTTTTTTGAAATCAATTTTGTTGATTATTTCTTCTAATTCTCTAATTAATTAATGTAACTCAATTAATATAATTAAATTATAAAAACTGATATTTTATATATAAAATGAGAATTAAGTAGTTATTAGAGAAGTGACATTTGTACTAAATTTAATGATTAATTCCATTGGATATTCATTTGGAATTAACATCAAAATAGACAGATATAAAACTAATGGGTATATTAAAGTTTTCAAAAAGGTTGTGACTCTAAGCATAAAAAAAACAAACAAAAAATATTTCTTTTAAAAAAAACAAGGTTTAATGAATATATTATATTAATTTTTACCTAATTAATATTTTATTAATATTTTACGACCAGTTTCTTATGAGCTATTGGGTTCACCATTGCCCCACTTGTAACAAATCTGGATTTTGCAAAAAACATTAGAAAAATTGTAATAAATATCAATTTACCATGAATAAAGGAAAAAAAGAATGTTATAGATATAAAAAGATAATAGAATCACAGGAAGCATCAAAAAAGAAAAAAGAACGTTAAAACATTATTAAATACCTGACTTTATGACATTTTTAGATTCCAAATTATTTTCATTTAATTAGAGAAATACGAAATTATATATATTGCTTTGGGAATTGGCTCTAATACTTTTAAGATTTTTGTTTCAAAGCTTAAAAATTTTTTTTAATAGTCTCAGGATTTTTCACTTCATTTTCACGCATCTAATCTCTGAAAAAAGTTTTTGATATGCAATTTATTTTTATATTATTACCAAGTAAAATTTTTATAATTTAATAATTGAAAAAGATGGAAAATGACAGAGTTTACAAATAAATAATAAAAATCAAAAATTCTAAAAAAAAATCTAATTTAACGAATAAATTAATAAACTAATTCTAAATTTTAATAAAATTTTAATTTTTCTTGTATCAAGAGTTTTTGCTTAAATAAAATATTTTCAAGTTTTTATATTCTGAATTTCCGAAGTTGTAATTTAAGTGGAGCTACAATATTAATATTATTCCAATGTAAAATCATACTACAAAGTTCTTAATAAAAGGAAAAGCTAATTATGTATCCATATTATAGTTTTTGTAATAAAGCATTTTTGTATGTCTTAAATCATAATTTTGACAATTACAATATTAGCCAAAATTATTAGACAAAATTTATTATTAATATTTATAATTTTTGCCAGAATTATAAAACATTTAGTAAACTATACAAGGTTTACTCTAAAAAAATGTCACAAATAAAATTTAAAGTTTTTAAATCTAGAAGAGAACTAGTATGTCAACTAAACATTACAATTGTAATAAGATATTAATTGTTAATAAGATATTGATTTTAACATTATAAAAACCATAATTTAGACTGGATTTTCTCAATGTTCAAATAAATAAAACTTAAAAGAGCAGGTAAATGCTCTCTCAATTCTATTACATCCTGCAATAACATAATAAGGTTTTGGGAGCAACGAAGCTACCTACTTTTGGCATAGTAAAGAAATCATCATATTCATATAAATAAATTTTAAATTATTAAAGTTGATACCTTCTCTATATCTTGTAACTGTTTAAGAATAAATTTACGTTTTTCTTCAACAATTTCTGACTATACTTTTTCTAGAATGAGATGTAGTTGATTGCAATCATTGTTTTCTGTTTGCAAACCATATAATCTCATGTTCAGTTTTTAAAAATTCATACAGAGAATAAAAGTTTCCAGTTTCTTCTGACATTAGTGTTAAGTGAGGATGGATATGAAGACTAATAACGATAACAATTTATCAGTTTCACAAAATCTGCATATTTATCAGCCAATTATTTTTTAATGAATTAACCTCTATAATTACCAAAAAGTGCGCTAGATAAAATTGGCGATCGTATGAGAGATTACTGTACTAACTGCTAACAAGTAACTTATATGAACGCATAAACTTTTTTCAACTAATATATTGATCAATAATGATAATTAAACTATAATTCCAAGGCGGTCATTATATAATTTACATTACATATAATTTTTGCCATTATACGTTCGGTTAGAAGTAATTTTATGCTTATCTGCATGCTAGCTCTATGAAAATTTTGGCCAACATTATTCTTGCAATTTGCTTTCAAAAAACTTAAATTCTTGTAAAATTACGCAAAATTATGGTAATTTGCTAACCTACTTCAAGCAAAATTAAGTAAATTTCAGCAAAATTAAGTATAATTCCAGGCAGAATTAAAATATAATTTCAGGCAAAATTAACATAGTATTAGGCAAAATTAAAATATAATTTCAAGCAAAATTAACTATTAATTTCGGGCAAAATTAGATATAATTCCAAGCAAAATTAAGTTATGCAAAATTGCAATATAAATTAAGTATAATTCCAGGCCAAATTAAAATATAAATTCAGTAAAAATTAAGTATAAATCCGAGTATAATTCCGAGTAAAATTAAGTATAATTCCATGCAAAATTAAATATAAATTCAGGCAAAACTAAATTATAATTTCAAGCAAAATTAACATAATGTTAGGCAAAATTAAAATATAATTACAAGCAAAATTAACTATTAATTCTACTGTTAAATTTATAAATTTTGGCAGAATTAGAGTTTAATTTGGGCAGATATCGAATATAAATTTAAGAAAATTGGAGTATAAATTTAGGCAGAATTGGGGCTTAATTTGGGCGGAATTAGAATATAAATTTGGGAAGGATTAAATATAACTTTTGGTATTGTACCAAATCCAGTCACAAATTTATTAGTGCTCCGCAAAAATGTATCCGAAAGGATCTGTATTTTTAATGGTATGAGGTTGGTGAGAATTCGAGTTGCGAGCTAATTCTACCAACATTATATTTACCAGAGTTACGAGCTAATTCTACCACATTATGTTTATCAATTATGTTTATCAGAGTTACGAGCTAATTCTACCCTATAAAAAAAGTTTGTTCTGTTTTTGTTCTGTTTTTGTTGATATTGTTCAAAAAATGTTCAGAATGGAGTCATTTTCATAATAAAAGCAGGACAAAAATCGTACATTTTTGATTTTTTCATTCGAGTTGACGATAGTCAACAGATCGAAAAGGTTGCTAAGCAGGGATACGCCGGCGACAATCTGGTTAGATCCAAGTATGCAGCCATTAAGCCTAATTGGGAATGAAAATAAGTGGATAGCGTGTGAACGAGCACATGAAGTCAGATAAGCATAAATTTAAGTTTTAATCAATTG